TCTGACCCAAGAGCTGTACAATATTGCCATTTTCCACTTCATTTTTGGTTTTGCTATATTGTGATTAGAAAAATGCAGTTCATTCTATTTCTGCTTTTAAAGTTCATTTAGTTTTTTTAAAGACATATTTGATAAAATTTGGTAAGTATCCTAAAGACCCTAGAAAATAAGGATTTTATCTGTAAGGCAGAGGTTCAGAATACAGTATTGGACCTCTCAATTAAGTTAATGTCTTTAGGAGTGTCCTTGGTGCTTATGAAGGGACAGTGACACAGAATAGATTGCCTTGCTCCCCATTCTGAAAACCAGAATCCTGGTATTCTCCATTCCCCTCTTAAGAGTTTTATATTTTTGACCCATTTTATGAATGTCTTATAGCAATTACTAATAGCTTCCCAACTATCAAAGCTGGCAGTTAAAGCTGGAAGCTAAAGGACCTAGGAGAGACCTAGCCTCTCCATACCAGGATGAGGAAGCTCTCCCTTGAGATTCCAGAGTAGTTTGTTCTGAAAGCAGAGAGATAAAGCAACTCTGCAGCAGTGGTCCTCCTGAATCAGCAGGGACTATTTGACAGTGTGCTGAGGAGGTTGTCTAGGCTAAAATCAAGGTAATCAGGGAACATACAGGTGAATCAGCCCCCAAGTGGCTCACCATCAGGTTGGGGAGCAAAGACATTACACTCTGCCCTCTTGCATCTGCAGTCATCATGACATTCTGAAGAGAAACATTCTGGGCACCTCCAAGAAGCTACATGATCTTTGTTCCTGATACCCTCTCTCATTTCTAGCCTAGTCATATGGGCTGAATATTCTTTTAAAGAACTAAAGCTCACACTTAAAACTTGAGCAGCCCCTGCTTCTCTAGTCCTATTTGACAGATATAGAACAGATGGAAAGGCAGCTCATCTCTTAGTCTTGCCTCAGTATTAGTAATCTGTTTACTCAGCCCCCTGTGAATGTCACATCCATTTGCAGCTAGGGTTCAAGGTCTCTGAGAAGGGGCTAATGCACAAATGAATATACTATACAAGAAATATAAATTTAGAAGGTATGGGGGAGCCAGACGGATAACTTCCCTCTAGTGGAGAAGCTCTCTGACTTCTTGGTCCCCTTTGCTTTTATTCACTTGAATACACATTTGCCCTTTAGGAAAGCAAACAGGCATATCATAGGTAAAGTTTGGTAAACAGTAAAAGGATTATCAGGTTAGGGGATTGCCTTCAGCCATTTTGCCAACAGCAGGGTAATATAAAGCTGATTTTCAGCCCTGCTGAATATCAAAGTCCATTAGCCTTCTAGCGGACTTCTCGAATTTATATGTTAACTACTGTTGGTCTTTGCCTCCAGTAGCCCCTGATTCTGGAATTTTAATTTTTGGGATTGGGTGTGGTGGTAGAGCCTTTTCTCACCAGAATGATGTATAGGTTAGTCTTTAGCCTTTTCCAGCTTGCATTGTCAGAGAGGACATCTCAGACATCTAGCAAGGCCTAAGTTCACATTTTTAAGCATCCAAAGATATTAAAAAACTGTATATCTTCCTTCTAAATGAGTGAAACCCATCTCAATCCCCAACAGACATGATTTTCAAAATCAAAGTTTTATCACCAAGGGATTACCTAGAACCATGGTTGGCAAACCGCGGCTCGCGAGCCACATGCGGGTGTGCACGTACAGTGCGATTGAAACGTCGTGGCCCATGCGCAGAAGTCGGTATTTTGTGGAAGAGCCATACTCAAGGGGCCAAAGAGCCGCATGTGGCTCGCGAGCCACGGTTTGCCAAGCCGCAGTTTGCCGACCACTGACCTAGAAACTTGATTCCTATATTAGAGAACCAGTTTACATTCAAAAGATATATAACTACTGAGTCACTGAAGAATTTCTTCAGGTTTTTATTTTAAATAAGCAATATCAGTAGTCCGTTTTGACTGCACCTTGCCTCTTACTGCTGCACTCAGAATTTTCTTTCAACAGAGCAATGACATATTCCATCCATGATCTTCCCTCCTGGACACTCCTACCACCATCTTTACCTTTCAATATGGCCTGCATTTTGAAGTGCTATATTCTGAAGGGAAAAATGTCCAAGATAAAGAATACAAAGGACTTGTATGCATGCATATTAGCATAACCAATGAACACAGACACTGGGGCAGTGGGGGCTTGCCCAGGGTGGGAATGGCTGGGGAGGTCAATTGGTGGAAAAGGAGACATATGTAAAACTTTAGACAATAAAAAAAAAAAGAGAATACTCTGTACTTCATGCCACTCACATTTCTTAAACTACTTGCTTCATACTCCTGTTAGAGACACCTCTCACAGATACCAGAGAGGTATTACCAAACAGCCCCCTGAGTCAGTGGGAGAGGGCCATTCCCAACCTTGATCCTTGTCTTCTCATATAAACAAATTTATACAAGAGACCTTACCTGTGTTGTGAAAAGCCAATTTATTAAAGTAATTAAAGCATGCACCTTTACTGAAAAAGCAAAGCAAGCAAACCTATACATCTGGCTTATGAAGTGCAGACAGGCTCTCAGTGAATCTTAAGAGTGAGTTGGGTGGGGGTCCAAGGCATTATATACCCTCCTGTCTATAAGTTTCAGAATTCCTCTGCTGATTATATTTGGTACAGATTAATTCCCAAGGTTCCTTTTTACTTTATTGTGGCCTTCCCAGAATTCATGAGAAGCACCTGGCAACTTTATCTTGCCAAGCCTTGAGACTGTTGGCTTCTCTGCTTGCAGTGGTTCTCAACCTTGACTGCACATTAGAATCACCTGGGAATCTTTTTAAAATCCTGATTTCTGGGCCTCATCCTCCGGAAATTCTGTTTCTTTGTTATGGGGTGGGGCCACAACATTAGTAACAAAGAAACAGAATTTCCGGAGGATGAGGTCCAGAAATCAGGATTTTAAAAAGATTTCCAGGTGATTCTAATGTGCAGCCAAGGTTGAGAACCACTGGCTTAGGGAGTAAAACTGCCTTTTTTTCCTTTCCCCGGTACCATCCCTTTCTGTATTATCTCATTAGGGAGATTTTTAACCATTTGCTCTCAAGTGTCTTTAGCTGGGGAAGATAATGGCTTGTTAGTTACAAACTGGCTGCAAATTACCCACATTGTTTGGCCTTGTTTTAACTTTCCTGTCTCATTTTCCCTATTCCTTCTGCCTTTCAAAACAAAATACCTTTACTCTTCAGCCGTACCAAAGCCCCTGCTCGGACTCCTACATAAACTGACCCATATTCATGCTTCTAGAGAATTGTAAAGCATGAAATAAAGAAAGCAAACCATCCTTCTGAATGCACCTTTGGCCTTATCATTCAACTGCTCCAGCTGCTGAAGAACTATGGAAGTTGATAAAAATCTCTTTGTTGTGACTACAACACCTTGCATGAAAGTGATGAATTCAAAACCGGATGCTCTTCTATCTAGCTCAAAATCTGCAGGTCCATGTAGACCTCCTTCTTGACACACTGAGTTTTGAACAATAGAATCTCCAAGCTTTGGCGTCTGGTTTCCCCTTAGAGGGCATTATGTTAACTTTCTCACAGCACTATATTCTGATTTACCTCTTTAAAGACACCTGATGTTCAGTGGAGTAACTAAGGTTTATTGTGAGACAACAAGAATGATAATACCTGGAACTGTTATTGGTCGGGATGTTACTGATTTCAAGGGGTTTGACACTTGGGGTGGTCTATTCAAGCACCAGATATGGCTATCATTAGGTAGTTTTATTTACTTATAATAGGTAAAGAAGACAGAGGATTAACATCCAAAGCTCTGTCTCCCTAAAGGAATTCTTAGTCATTGCTTATATATACTATTTGGTTAATTACATGTTGATTTCTTCTTTGCAGTTAAATTTATCCAGTTGCAATCCCAGTCAAGCTCATTGGTTTCAGCTGCATCTGCAAAATTATTACATGTTAGCATTTTAGCAAGAGTAGCATTTAGTAAGAACCAACCTTGAGATTGTTGTCCTTTCTTAAAGGAGACAAGAAGCATTAAGACGAAGACTCAAATAATGTTAGTGCTTCAACAATAAAGATTAAAACACACACAAATCATGTTAGTGCCAAGTGTGTGGCATAAAAAATGACTGCTGCAGGTCCTGTCTAGGCAGAGAAGACAGCTGCACAACAGAGGTGACTGAGGGCCAGGCGGGGCCAATTGCAGTAAGATGCTGGGTGGTGGGCTCATCATCTCCCCCGCTTCCTGTCTGTAATCAGTAGGGTGGTCCATTACAGAAATGACATCATGGAGGGTTATATGAAGGAGGAAAAGGGGAAGGAGCAAAGCATTGACTACAAATATCTTAATGAGCAAATATGCCAGGAAAAATATATTAAGTAAAATGCAAACAATTGAATCCCAGCAGGGTGGAACAGATTCTAAGTAACATTCTGTGACAGAGAGCAAATCTGCACATATGCAAACTTAGATTGATCAAAATTCAATCTCTGTGGAGTGAAAGGTAAGAGCAACAGGGCAATTCATGAATAAAGAAAAACACACATGACCAGCAAATGTACCAGAAGGATATTTTCTGGGTTTGTTGGAACGCCATAGTGCATTGGTACTAGAGAAATATGAATTAAACAAAGGAACGATGGGATGGGTGGCCAGATTTTCTGTGGAGACAGTGAATGGTGGGCCTTCGGTAAGGACTCAGTATACCAGTTCAGAACTTCTGCCCTCCACTCTGCTCTAGGGCTTTCCACAAAAGTAATCCCTGGGGAGCACCGCTTTCTAATTAGCTCAAGCCCTCGGGCTCTGCTCTGAAAAGCCTGGGCTTGCCAACTGGGCCATGTCCTGGGGAGGCCTTGCCAACAAGGCCGGTGCCATTGGTCCGGCTATATTCCCTGCAGAGGCTCTGAGGCTGCAGGCAAGAAATGCAGACAAAAATGGGGGCGAGGCTACGCTGGTGGCCACACCTCAGGGAGCCGGCGAAGAGGCGGGGCTGTCTGTGGGCCTCCGAGGAGGGGCAGGAGCTGCTGCAGCTTTCTCCCGAGACGAGCTAGGGAGGAGACCAAGTGTGGAGCCTGGCAGGAGGGCTTCCAGGGCTGGCGGGGCGCTCCAGACGTCCTGAACAACTGCCCGTGGCTCGTGCTCCTGCGGGTCCGCGGGACCTGAGCCTGCCGGGCCCATGGCGGCATCCGCAGCTCTGTCAGCTGCTGCTGCGGCAGCGGCCCTATCCGGCCTGACCTTGCGACTTTCGCGCTTGGCCGGATCCCGCGCCTCCTATGGCGCCTTCTGCAAGGGGCTCACGCGCACGCTGCTCACCTTCTTTGACCTGGCCTGGCGGCTGCGCATGAACTTCCCCTACTTCTACATCGTGGCCTCGGTGATGTTCAACGTCCGCCTGCAGGTGAGGATCGAGTGAGCGCCTGTGGCCACAGCGGCCGCGGGAGGGTGCCGCCCCCACCCGCCCGCCCGCCCGCATGGAGGACGGCCGGGCCGCCCAGGTCGCGGGGACGCGGCGCGAAAAGGAGGAGGGGTGGCCCGGGCCCCTGGACCCAAGAGCTGCCCGAGAGGACGCTGGCCACCGAGCCCCCAGGGCCACGGAACCGCGGACCCGGGCGTGACCTGCGCACACGCGTGGCAGCCAGTGCAGCATCGCACAGAAACGGACAAAACGGACCCTGTCCGTGGGGCTCCAGAAAATTATCCGAGTACAGCCGACCTGTTGCCTCACATTGGCCAAGTTGGAAACCAGAAGGAAATGCTGCTGCGGGGACTTGCTTTGACTGGTCTCAACCAAAAAGGTAGGCTGCCAGAGGGAGGCGGTTGCCATGGCATCTAGACGTCTCGGCCCTGGGGTTTGGGGGGTGGATATGGAGGGACCAAGGAAGCCAGCCCAGAGAGCCGCGGAGCGGAGGCAGACAGGGAGTCACAGGCTCTTGGAGTCCCTTGCCATGATTCCACATTGGGGGCGAGGGGCGGCTGTAGCTTAGGCATCTTGCATCTCAGGGGTTCAGCCCACCACCCATGCAGACCTGGGTGTCCCCTCCCACCCCAGCCAGGCCCCCCTCTATCCCCAGAGGCCCAGGAGGTGTCACCTGAGCCAGAGGCAATGGAGGGGAATGGGCTGGGGTGGCCCACAGGAAGGCCCTAGAGGAGAAAAGATGGTACCACACTTCACCCTCCTGGACAGGGAGCCTGGGACCCCAGGTCTGTCCCCTTCTCAGCACTCAGGCCCCCGGACTCTCTGCAGCCCCCTGAATCCTGCCCCTGCTCTCCCTTTTGCTCTCCTCCTTCCTCTTTCAGGAAGAGTGGAAAGATGCCTTCCTCCCTCGCACTCCCCCCAGTTTTCCTCTATGCCATCCCCAGCCCTCCCCTTGCCACAGAATGCCATCCTTTGGCCCAGACAACGTCCAGGAGTGCCCTGTGAACCCAAAGCATCTGGGAAAATGTGGATTTCCTTGAGGAGAGGCAGGTGTCAGGCTGGGGTGGGGAGAGCAGATGGAGAAGGGGCTTGCGGAGAACTCAACACTTGGAGAACGGGGCGGGGGAGGGGGGCCTCTCTGGGTAGGGAGGCAACTCTCAAGTCTCATTTCTTTGTTTCAGGAACCAGTGTTTGTAGCCAGTGACTCACCTCTTCTCCGGCCTCGTCAAGAGTCAAATCTGTGCCCAAGGACCCCCTGCCCCTAGAGCTTCCTGGTCGCAGCTGAGTGAAGGGCCTGGCTGAGGAGGAGATGAAGGGCCTGCTGGCAGAGGCCCCGAGGTATGGGGCAGCCCAGAGGTCCGGTTCTGGCATGGGGAAGGACAGGACGGTGTCACCTGGGCACTGAAATCTCCTAGCACACCATGAGGGTGTTCTATTCTCTCTCCCTGCTGACATGGGAAACGGGTTCTGGGAGGGGGGCTCACCTTTGCCCTTGTCACACAGATAAGGAGTGGTGGGGCTAAATCTTCCCTAAGGCCTGCACGCCCCCACCCGCACCCCAGGCTTCTGGAAGACCTGGCCCAGCGGGATGGGGCAGGGGCTCCCAAGGCTCCCAGGGGAGCTAGGGAGAGAGGTTCAGGGTGGGGAATGTGGGGAACTGGCTTTCCTTGGGGTGGTATGGGCGGTCACAGGAAACACAGGCGGACAGTCTGAGCTGAGATGGGCACAAGAGAGATGAGTCCAAGGACCCCCTGGCAGCTAAGGTCCTCACCCACAGAGCCAGGTCTTCCCACCCCACCCCAGGCTTAGCCAAGGGCTCCTGCACAATTGGCACAAGCCTCTCAGTTTGGGTGGGGGAGGTGGGGGTAGCTCCTGCGGACATGATGTGACCAGAGGGTAAACGGTGAACTGGGGGGGGGGGGTGGAGACAGGAACCGTGCATGACCCACCTCTCTGTCCCCAGGCTCGGATCCCTCACACCCAGGATCACACAGGAGACTCCTCCAGATGGGCTTGGACTGGTCCTGGAGGCCGGGCTGTGCTGCTGACTGGTGCACCAGCATGGCCAGAAACAGCCCAGAGGGGAGCCAGGAGAGACCTGGCCCTCACCACCCACCCTCGGTCCCACATCTGCTCTGACACTGGTTGCTGTCAGCCCAAGTTCTCAGAGCACCTGAGACTGAAAACCACAGGAGTGTGGTCAGCCCAAGGGATGGTGTGGCCCAGTCTCACAACATCTGCCCTACTCAGCTGCCCAGCTGGAGCCTGGGGCCTGGGTGAAGTCCTCCTCCTGCCTCACCACAGGACTGGGGACCAAGGCTCCCACGTGCCCCCTGCAGTTTCCCACTAACAGGGCCTGATGGCTTCCTTCCTTGTGCCAAGTCACCTGGGAGCCCCTGGTCCTGGTGGCCCCTCCACCCCAGCCCTGTCCAACCAGGACCACTTCTGGGAGCCTGCCAGCCTGCCTGCCAACTCCATCCGTAGCTCTCTGGGGACAGCCACAGAAAAAGGGGAGCAACACGGCTGTATAAGATGGGAGGAGGACCAGGGGCCTCCTTGGGGATGAGGCACAGATGTGCCCCTTTCAAGCCCAGGTCTCACCCTCTGGGTGACTCCATCCTCAGCTCCAGCCTCTTCCTGGGCTGGCCAGGGAGGAAGAAGACCTGAGAATGGCATGAGGGAGGCTCCTCACTGAATGTGTGCTGGTGTCCCACAGGGAGAAATATGTCTCTGAACCTCAGGGTCCCCTGGCCTCATAGACCTGCTCCCTTGCCAGGAAGCTCTTCCCCATCCAGGGGACACAGGAAGTCCGCTGTGGCTCTGACTGTGGTTGTCTCTGCTCAAAGGGAATGGCTGGGTGTGGGGCCAGCCACCAGTCCTTAGCCTGTTCCTGCGCTGCTTTTCTTACCATTTTGGCCTTGAGTAGTGTGAGCTGCTTCTGCTCTCCCACCTCCCTCCAACCCCACTGGGCCCTGGCTGCTTGACTGGCTCTCAGTGCACTTTACTTGTTAGTCATCCGTTTCCCAGGCAGCAGAAATTCTACGCAATTAGAGACACCAACCTGAATAGGATAACTCAATTTTCTATATGTGTTCACTCTGTGCTGGTCAGAAATGTTCTTGTTTCTGGTGTTGTCAAAACTTGTTGTCTAAGTTATTAAAAAGTCCTTAAGTTCAATAAAATAAATAAAACTGGAAGACTCCTGTTTCTGGTGTGGTGCAGTAGCCCTGGAGGACAGAGGGGCCAGTGGTGAGATCACTGATGCCCAGGAGCTGGGGAAGGGAGCGCCCTCAGGGGGCTACAGGTGGGCAGGGCCTCCTCAGGAGGCACTGGGGACCCCACTGGCCCTGGACCACTGCCCCCATGAGGGGAAGGCGGCAGCATAGGCCTGGCCCCGCAGGTGGCAATTGTCCCACTCACAACCTTGTTTGAAGAAACTAATACCTAAGTCTCAGCTTCATTTTAGAGCCTGGTGTTACAAAGCGCTTCAGTTGAAACCCAAGGGTGGGATGAGGGAAGTGAGGTGAAATTGTCTGTCTGCAGATCATTGTGTTTCACCAGAAGCCCCTCTGCAGCAGCAGGTGGCAAGGTCCCCATCGCCTCCCTGCCGGCCACGTGGGTGCAGAGTTTTGGAGGAGATAAACCACAGGGAAAGAAGCTTCCCTTCCCCCCACCTTAGATCCCAAGTCCCATTGGAGATCTGCTCCCAGTGCCTCCCCAGAGAAGCCACGCCAGGGGTGCTGCCTTCTGAGGCTGCTGCAGGGGAGAGGGTGGCAGGTGGGCAGAGGGCTGAGTCAGGAGGCCTGGGGAGCAGCACAGTGGCCAGGAGAGAGAAAAGCAAGTCTGAAGAGGGAGGGCCACCGTTCCCGGCCAGGCACACCCTGTTCTGGTTAAGACCCGTGCCCTGGCCCAGCTGGCATGGCTACCTATGAACCAGGAGGTCACAGTTCGATTCCCAGTCAGGGCACATGCCCAGGTTGCAGGCTCGATACCCAGTGGGGGTGTGCAGGACACAGCCGATCAATGATTCTCTTTCATCATTGATGTTTCTATCTCTCTCTCCTTCTCCCTCTCTGAAATGGATAAAAATATATTTTTTAAAAAGGCCTGTGCTCTGAGCCCAGCTCCTCCTGTGTGGGCATTCAAGGGGATGTTGTCTAGTCAACATTTGTCTCAGGCCTTATCACTCTGAGGAGAGAAAACCAGATGAAGGGAACTGGTGTGTAATGAGAACCTACAGAACTACAGGCACTGCAATGGGTGGTTTGCTGCCATCATCCTATATAATAAAAGGCTAATATGCAAATTGACCAAATGCTGGAATGACCAATTGCTATGATGCACACTGACCAACAGGGGGCAGACGCTCAATACAGGAGCTGCCCCCTGGTGATCAGTGCGCTCCCACAGGGGGAGCACTGCTCAGCCAGAAGCCAGGCTCACAGCTGGCGAGCACAGTGGCGGTGGTGGGAGCCTCTCCCACCTCCGCAGCAGCACTAAGAATGTCCCCGGGGAGCAGGCCTAGGCTGTCAGTTGGACATCCCCCAAGGGCTCCCGGACTATGAGAGGGCGCAGTCCAGGCTGAGGGATCCAACCCACTGAGTGCATGAATTTCGTGCACTGAGCTTCTAGTCTCTATATATAAAAGCCTAAGTGACTGGATGACCAGACATCCAGCCGGTAGCTATGATGCACACTGACCACCAGGGGGCAGACGCTCAACTCAGGAGCTGCCCCCTGGTGGTCAGTGGGCTCCCACAGCAGGAGTGCTGCTCAGCTGACAGACGGGAGCCTGACGCGGGGGCTGACTGCTGGTGAGCCTCTCCTGGGGACACTCCCCCTGAGCACCCGAGCTGCGAGCTGCGGTGACAGGCCCAGCAGGTCTGGGATGAACAGGAGCAGTGGGGCGCCCAGCCCGGGCTTGGGCTCCTCCCAGGTCACCTGCCAATTCATGCACTACTTCGTGCTGTGCAGGATCGATGCGGACATCGGGCTGGAGCCCGATGAGTGGGTAAGGCTGGGCTGCGGCAGCATGGAGGTAAACTGATCCCCACAGGCCAGGCCAAGGGACCCTACTGGTGCACAACCTGGCCTCTAGTTTTATTATAATTCCACAGCCATCTGCTGGAGGAGGTCATTGAGAGGATGTGACCACCAGTTGACCCTTGAGCTGGACCTGGACAATTAGGCCCTTTACCCTCACCCTTGTCCTTGGACTGTACATTCTGCCCACCATCCCCATAGGCAGAGCTGTTTCAAAGACAGAGCCTTGAGAGAGTGAGGTGTTGAGACGATCTGGACAATAAATGACTGAACCAGTTAGGGCACCTATACAAGCTTTAAGATTCTCGCAATCACCTGACAAGCCGCGAATGTTAGTTCCCTAGCTTATTTAACCTGTCCCCCACCAATCTGACTGGTCTGTCTCCATTCCCTCTCTCCTTGTCCTGCATATTCATCGAGGTTGGGGGAATGCATAAAATTTTGACTATATACCTTCCTAATAGATATATTTTATCAGTATAAACAGCCCCTCATGGACATGCTTAATGCATGATTATTTGATTTGTTTCATTGAAAATTGAAAATGCTACTTACTCAGCCATTTCTCCAAGTATCCTGGTCCTTCTTATTGGAGAACATCCTTTTTAGAATAAAAATGTTATTTCTGTATCTGTCAAAACCCTGACCAAATCCAACACCCATCCGTGATAAAAATTTGCTACACATTTGGAATAGAGGGAATTTCCTCAACCCGATAGTGTCTCCATAAACTCACAGTGCACATAATACTTACTGGTGAAGAATGAATGTTTTCCTTAATATTGACAATAATACAAGATGTCTACTCTTGCCTATTCATTTCAAAATTGTACTGGAGGGTCAAGCCAGTGGGACAAACCCTCCCATCCCACCAAAATAAAACCACGCTGATTGGAAAGAAAGAACTAAAACGGTCTTTATTCACAGATGACGTGATCCTATATGGAGAAATTCCCAAGAAATGACAAACTTCTTTTGTGATGTATGCGGGGAAGGGTGGATACAGCCTCTCAGTGTCTGCTCATACTCAGTTATATCCCCTAGGAAAGCAGCCTGTGTCCACCCCAATATCAGAAACATTGGTGAACAGAGACCCATCCGAGGTCACTTTACCAGGCCAACACTGCAGGCGGAGGAGAAGGCACTTTGTGTCCCCAGCTCGCCCACACAGTCCCCTATTGGGAAAGCAGGCCAATCTCAACAGCATAAGCGCCCTGTGTCTGTGTGGAGAAGCAAGTGTCCTGGGCTGGAGGGAGTTCCCCAAAGAGTAGGGGGCGGAGGGAGGGAAGAAAAGCATTGTGCCCACAGCAGGTCTATAGTCATTGACCCATCTATTAAGTTTTAGGCATTAGCAAAAGAAAAGATGAGGCCATCCCAGCAACCAGAGGACGGAAAAGCAGAAAACTGTGTCTAACTTAACCCCGTTGGGAAGCCCAGCTGAGCAAACAAATCATAAACTGGAAGAGCTAGGGCCAGCCTTTTAGAGGAGCATACATAAGCTCAGGGGACAGAAGTTATGTCTCCCAGAGGTAGCTGTGACAGTGGAGCAAGTGGGCCTCCGCTTAGTGCGGAGGGGGCAGGGTCACTGATGCAAGGATACACAATGACTCCCCAGGCCCCCCATTCGACTGAGCACCATACACAGGAGAGAGCAGATTTTCTCTCTCTGGTGTGATGAGCCCCTCAGAGGCCCCAGCAGGACCCACACAGCTCCTGTAAGAGCAGAGCTAAGGAGGCCCCCTGGACACAAGAGTGACTGAAAGCAAAAAGGGGGAGCAAAGACAACAAGACAGGGGAGGAGTATTCATGACAAGACATGTGGCCCCAAAACTGTGATGGCAGCAGGGCAGCCAAGTGAATATTCAAGAACAGAGTAGAGGGGAGGTTTCGAACATCGACTCCAGAGAAGAGTATAAGGCACTGCTCCATATCGTCAAGCAGAGAGCAGAGTGGACAGCAGTCCTCTCCAGCTCAGAGAGAAGAGCAGCAGCATGAAATAGCGGATTCCAGCCGTGTTTCTGTCCTTTGAGGGTACTGCTGTAGCAGAGATTAACAGGATGTGTAGAAAGCAGAGCATTATTCTTCACCTTTGATCTGATATTCAGTTGGACACAGGGGCAAGTGTTCATCTCTGCATCTGGATTTTTCTCAGCACCACCTCCAGGCACACACCTTTCATGGGGCCAGTGGGAATAGACACAAAACTCTCCTGATGGCAATTTTCTGCAGTGGGTCAGGACTTTTTGCTTTATATATATAATTGATTCCAGAGAGCAAGGGAGAGGGAGAGGTAGAAACATCAATGATGAGAGAGAACCATTGATCGGCTGCCTCCTGAATGCCCCACACTGGGGATCCAGCCCCCAACCTGGGCATGTGCCCTGTCCCGGAATTGAACCGTGACCTCCTGGTTCATAGGTTGATGCTCAACCACTGAACCATGCAGGCCGGGCCTGACTTATATTTTTTATTCACTGGTGGGCCTCTTCCACAGATGAACTTCTCCCCTGTCCTTACACCCTTGCCCCACACCTGTGATATTGGAAGCTCAAAAAGATAGCCACACCCCCATCCCATTAGTTCCAGAACAAGCCTAGGTGTCAGTTCTTTCCCTACTAGGCTGGATCAGACAGAGAGCAGGGATCTCTAGTGAATGGATGGGTCATCTAGGACTGGTCTGCCACTATCCCAGTACCTGCCTAGTGGGAAATAGGAGTGACAGCACGCTTAAGGAAAAGAACAAGAGAGCTTCTGTGCCCCCCCCCCCGTTCCGCCCCCCAAGCAGGCTTGTTCACACTACCCTTGGGCTTGACTCTGAGCTCTGACCCTGGAGCCTTCTCCTTGGACAAGAGATGTCCTGGGCTCCTGGACACATCAGTGCTACCCCTACATAAATGCCCGCTCCCTCTGGACCCAACCCTATACTGTGCCACATTCCCAGCAGTCCCAGAAGGCTTCCCCCAGCTCCTCCCAGGAAGAAGATCAGAATGGGCAAGTAGGACCAAGGCAGTGGAAAGAGAGCCCTGAAGGGACCACAGTCACTCCACGGGACATTCCAGCTATTACCTGGATGTAGAGCAGCGGTTGAGTCCTTCCAGCAGCGTAATCGGACCCTCAGAAAACACTGGGTGTGGCCTCCACAGCCCAGAGTCCT